ACTGACTCTGACCCGCGTACTCAGTACCCTGGCCTCTCAACACCAACACTTCTCCCCTAGTTCCGCATACCTAGAACACGCAAACATGTCGCCATCAATATCATACATTTCAGGCCAGCTTAGGCAGCTAATATATTATCATCTCGATAACAATCTGTGCCGCAATGCGCTGTTTCTCGCCGGTCGTTTACATGCTTATGAGCCCCGAACGGCGGAAGCGTCATATTTACTCGCTCTCTGTCACCTTCAAAACGGTCAAGTTAAAGCCGCGTACGATTACAGCAGAAATTTTGGATCGAGAGGCACCCACCTCGGCTGCTCCTATGTCTTTGCCCAAGCGTGCTTGGACCTAGGAAAGTATCTGGAAGGTATCACAGCGTTGGAGCGAAGTAAGGGCCTTTGGGCTTCCAAGAATCACTGGAGTAAGCATTCCTCGCGCTGAGCCTTGCACTCAACTTGCATTTATCCCGTTGCTTTTCTGTTTCTGACATATTTGCACCTGCCACTCTAGATAAGCACAGTGAGACGCGAAGACAACACCTGCCGGATGCGGCTGCAGTATTCTCCCTGCTAGGTAAACTATGGCATGCGCATAAGGACATCAACAAAGCTGTAGAATGCTATGTTGAATCTCTGAAGCTGAATCCCTTCATGTGGGATGCGTTCCAAGGGTTGTGCGACACTGGTAAGCTTTGGAGAAGAAACTTACTACATCTAGCCATGGCTAATTGTGTTCTACTGCCAAGGCGTCAATGTCCGCGTGCCGAATATCTACAAGATGAATTCTGAATTGCTGGCCGTATTGTCTTCATCACCGCAGGAGGACGCCGAGCCAACATCCGACAAGTCTGTCCACACGAATGGTCCACTGCAAGCGCAGGCGAATGTCAATCCGAGCTCCGATCCTTTTGCATCGACAACCTCTCGCAGTGATTCAGGTACCAGCCATGGGAGCTCTGCCTTGTGGGAAAAACTAAATGGAAGCACAGTAAGCGTGGCGTCCTCGGGAGTGCCAACATCAATCGTGCACGAAGGGGCGGAAACGCCGAGTGGTCAAAGCAGCGGATCTGATGACTTCCGGTTAGCCAATGGAATGAACGGCGTGGATGCTCCTTGGGACCCTCCTTTAGCTCCTGCAAGGAAAAACAGAACGATCCAGGCAATCAGCGGCGAGTATCCAATGGATCCCCCTCCCAAGATGAAACCCACGGGGATCCGACCAAGGACAAGAACCAGGACTGAGCCGGAGGAGCAAATTTCAGCCCAGACAGACCGGGAGGCTACAATTCCACCCAGGGTCGGGGACCGCAAGCGAACTGTTTCTGGTCAGGTAGCGCATCCGCCCACATCACAACCCACGGAACCGGGAGCACCCCAACGGCGGAGTGTGCGACTCTTCAACCAGATTAAACCGACAACCAGCAAACTGTCGGCATCCGCATTGGGAGTCAAGGATGCTAGAGAGGTCAAGAAGGCGAAAGCCACGGGTACAAAGGGGCGTACTACAACCACCACCACCATGGGACGAGTAGTGAGTGGCAGTCGAAAACATGGCAGCGAACATCATGATGTAGATGGTAAAGACGGTCGGTCCTTACCATCATCACACACTCACGCCAACCCCAAAGGCGCTGCACTTGAGAGGTCAAAAGAAATTGAGGCGTTGACCTGGCTGCTGGAGCTATTCTCCAAACTTGCTTCTGGATTCTTTGCCTTGTGTCGCTACCGGTGCTCGGAGTCAATTCAGATCTTCAATTCTCTCTCGCAGGGCCAACGGGAAACACCGTGGGTTCTCGCTCAGATTGGACGAGCGTATTATGAGCAGGCGATGTATTCTGAGGCTGAGAAGTACTTCTACCGCGTGAAGACAATGGCACCCTCGCGCTTAGAAGACATGGAGATCTACTCAACCGTCCTTTGGCATTTGAAGAACGATGTTGAGTTAGCATACTTGGCGCATGAGTTGATGGAAACAGATCGCCTGTCGCCACAGGCGTGGTGCGCCATCGGTAATTCTTTCTCCCACCAGCGGGACCATGACCAGGCTTTGAAGTGCTTTAAGCGGGCAACGCAGCTGGATCCCCAGTTTGCATACGGGTTTACTCTTCAAGGACACGAGTATGTTGCCAACGAAGAATACGACAAGGCGCTGGATGCATACCGTCACGGTATCAGTGCTGATAATCGGCATTACAACGCTTGGTACGGATTGGGCACGGTCTATGACAAAATGGGTAAACTGGACTTTGCCGAACAACACTTCCGGAATGCGGCAAGCATCAACCCGACCAACGCAGTTTTGATCTGCTGTATTGGTCTGGTACTGGAAAAAATGAACAATCCTAAAGCCGCTCTCGTGCAATATGGTCGCGCTTGTTCCTTGGCGCCTCATTCCGTACTCGCGCGATTCCGCAAGGCTCGTGCATTAATGAAGCTTCAGGAGCTCAAGTTGGCCCTGTCCGAGTTGAAGATCCTCAAGGACATGGCTCCAGATGAAGCCAACGTGCATTATCTGTTGGGTAAGCTCTACAAGATGCTTCACGACAAAGCGAATGCCATTAAGCACTTCACAACTGCTTTGAACTTGGATCCTAAGGTATGCCCATCACTTCCCTTGTCATATTACCAGAGAATGCTAACTGGTTCGGTTCCAKGCAGCACAATACATCAAGGATGCCATGGAGTCTCTCGACGATGACGAGGAGGATGATGAGGACATGACTTGACTTGCCGTCCACTTTCCACATCGATCCAATTCTGGATCTTACTTGCTTCCCCCTTCTTCACCAGGTGCCTGCTATCCGGAGCTTGCATTCATGAGAGTCGGCGTTGAATTTGATTTTGGATTTTTGAAGCATTAGCATTATAATGGCGTTTTGCAGGCCGGGTTGGTTAGAGGTGCATTTACCCTGCATCAGGTTCTCAAGAAGGGAGCCGAGGCTCGTGATTCTTGTGTCTTGTATATTAGCGTGGGTTGGCTTTGTCGGGGCTGGTCATTGGCTGCATATGAGAGACGAAGACGCCTGGACGACAGATTCGTGGACATAGATGTCTGTCGAACAAGGCACTTGCATAATCTGCGATGTCATTCTTATGCCTATTCTTATTCTTACGGAAATCAATTCCACCATATTTGAGCCTGAACCATGGGGATTACCTCCAATAATAATACTTTGTAGAGAATAATTGCAGAGTTGCAGGGCGGTGAGCGGCAGGATGATGTTGGTGCCCCGAAATTCAGGAAAAAAGTTCCAGGGTTGAACAGGCAGGAATATTGTTGGTGATCTTCTGGCACGAGCATCAACGACCCATTCTTCACGCTTCCTTTTTCCTAATTGGCAACCGGCTACCAGGCCAGAGAATCCTGAACCCGCCAACCTCTGTCACATTCTCGGGTCATGGCCAGTGCCGCTTTTTAAGTCTCCTGCGCATCCTTGTTCCGACCACACGCCTGACCTCATACCCGAAATCAGCTGCCACGGAGGGGTACGGCTCAGCAAGAGTGTGAATATTACGACTTAGTGACTTCGAGGCTACTTATACAGCTTATCGTAACCCTAAAGATTGCTTTCCCCGGTCTTTTGACATGTCGATCCTGTCCTACATCGCCTCGGGCATCAGCTCGTTTGTCGTCGTGACGCTTTCCCTTTTCGCACTCGGCCAAAAGGTCCCTCGCGCGGCCTTTTTCGCTCGGTGTCTTGCGGCCTATGGCTCTCTCTTGCTTTGCGCATGCTATGGCGTAATCGCATCAATTGTCCTCCGCCTCGTAGGCTACGGCCGGGTCTCCCAATGGGCCACCGCGCGCAGTTTCAAATGGGTTATGCGATATACAACCGGCGTGCAGTTCGACATTATCCAGGGTGCCGAGCACCTCTCCACCCGGCCTGCGGTCTTCATCGGCAACCACCAGTCCGAGCTCGACGTGCTCATGCTGGGCTACATCTTCCCTCCGTACTGCAGCGTCACCGCGAAGAAGTCGTTGAAAAATATCCCCTTCCTGGGTTGGTTCATGGCGCTGTCGCGGACGGTTTTCATTGACCGGGCCAACCGCGAGACGGCGATGAAGGCGTTTGACGGTGCGGCGGAGGAGATCCGCAAGTACAAACAGAGCGTGTTCATCTTCCCCGAGGGGACGAGGAGTTACTCAGAGAAGCCCGAGTTGCTGCCTTTCAAGAAGGGAGCGTTCCATCTGGCGGTCAAGGCGGGTGTACCGATCGTTCCTATCGTCGCGGAGAACTACTCGCACATCCTGTCGCCGCGTAATATGCGGTTTAACCCTGGCGTGATCAAGATCAAAGGTTTGTGCATGTGATGTTTCTTTTCCCCGGTATGAGACTAACAGACTCGTCCTAGTCCTACCTCCCATCAGCACGGAAGGCTTGACCGCTGCGGATGTCGACCGGTTGACTAAGACCGCTCAGGAGAGCATGCTCAAGGCTCTCCTCGAGCTGGCCGATCAGGATCGCGATAAGATCGACTCAGATGTCAAGAAAGCTACTTCCACGGCTGTGGAGATCTGATCGGTTGCACGACCGTCCATGAGTTACGATCACGTCTGGTCCTGGCTTGTTACTGCGGTGATGATCACGCCGGCGCGGCCTGTCTATTCTTCGCCTTTTACATGACTGACGGCTATATTGATATTCGAGATTATGAACAGGACGAGATGAGTCCCTCTCGCTCATCTCCTTGTGCTCTAGAATTGCTAAGAGATATTTGGTGCCCGGCGGTGGTTTGTGGATAGAGCTGCAGGATTTAGATTTTGGATACAACTATCGGAGATGCGGATGAGGAACAAGCGACCTACAAATCATTCACTTTCTACTTCCCTATAATTTTGCGAACTATTGTGTGCAGACAGCGTGTCAGAGTGTACATAGCATTATCCTTCGTGATATTATTCTGTATTGTTGGGTGTGAGTGAAGATGCATAGATATTTATCTACCCCCTGCTTCGCTTCGTCCAGACGCTTAAACGCTCAGATAGACTCTCCTAAAGACTATTTCGTTACACACTGACAAACTCCTGTCGCACAAGGTGCAATATCTCTGTCGATATCGATCTTCTCCATGTGCATCCAGGGATCTATGGAGACGGTGACGCCCATACTCCCAGGCAATGGCCGACTCCCGGCCCCCAATCCGGCCCCTCGCGCCGCCGTAGCAAATATATAATCCTTCTCAAAAGCGACCACCTCAATCCGCACATCCTCCACCCTCTTCCCATACAGCCAGGTCTTGATACCAGTGTACGGCTCCCCCCAATCCCCCGCCAAGGCCTGCACGTGCGCAGGGGCGACGACATCCGTAAACTCCAGCTCCCGCAGCCACGGCGCGAGAAGTGCCTCGCCGGTCATCTTGATGTACGCCTCCTTGAGAGCCCAGTACGTGTAAAACAAGCGGAGGCCGTACTCGACCGCTTCGCTTTCCTGGGCGCCGTCCCGCGCGTCAGCCGGGAATCTCCCTCCCAGGTTCTTGATCGTTTCCAGCTCGCGTTGGGAGAAGACTTCGGCGAAGATGTCGACGTATTCAGCTAGTTGTTTGCGGGTTGATGGGGCGGAGCTTGTGCGTGCGCGCCGCTCGTCCACGCAGGTGATGTCTATGCCTACCTGAGGGACAGAGGGGGCCGGAGTCGAGGATGGGCTGGGGTTGGCGAATAGCGTAGCCGGGGTGGTGCTTGCGGCATGGGACGGTGGGATGATTGTGCCTGCGAGCGCTACGAGAGATGCTTGGTGACTGACGTTGAATTCGATGCTGGGGATGGGCTCGTCAGTGCCCTCGGTCAGGGCGGGAGAGGGGATGAAACATGGTCGGCGGTGAGGCGCTGGTGTTCGACTGATGCTGATCTTGTTCCAAGGAATGCGGCAGGAGCGGTGGATGAAGAGGTATTTCAGCAGGTTTGAGGCGAGGGACATGTGTCTGTCCTTGAGGTGGTAAAACTTCTTGACTGCCTCTTGGTCTGATGGTTGGAGGGTCTCCAACAATGGGAGTGGTGAATTTGTCGCTGTCAATTGGCGCGTGTCTATATACCATCGCGTAAGAGAGGTTCTGCTCTCATTTTGTACGGAGCCCATCTTTCCGGATAGTTGCGAACTAAGCAGTAAGGATTCGCGAGCAAAGAGCTATATCTTCAAAAACGAGGGAGGACGGGGAGAGCTAGCTGCGTAGGCTTTAATTGACCTCTCTGCTATGGCAAAATAAGGGAGGTAAGAAAACAAGCAGTGCCATAAAGTGTCATCGAGTCATATCCGTCATCATCAAACATGATAGTATCCAATGCATATGCTATGAGACATCGTGAATGCTTTGCTGACATTAAAAACAACATTCTTATCAGTAGGCGGGGTAGCAACGTGCTGATAAATACCGGCCGAATGTTGACCCGCTTAGCTAATGGGTGTATACAGCACGAAGAGAGTGGCCAAGGTGTGAGTCAAAAAAGTTATTTTCTACAAGCAGGAATTACCATGGCCAGCATCACTGTCGGGGTTCTCGCTTTACAGGGCGCATTCTATGAGCACATCCAGCTGCTGAAAAAGGCAGTCTCGGAACAAAGCTCCACTACTCAATGGGAGTTCATCGAAGTTCGGACACCGCAGGAGTTGGATCGGTGTGATGCGTTGATCCTTCCTGGAGGCGAGAGCACGACAATCTCTCTTGTTGCGGCCCGATCGAACCTCTTGGAGCCTTTGAGGGATTTTGTGAAGTATGTTCGCGCAATAACCCCAAGGCTATCCCGTCAATGCGACTGACAATCTGTTTTCCTAGGGTCCATCGCAAACCGACATGGGGCACCTGTGCCGGGTTGATCCTACTCGCCGAGTCTGCTAATCGAACCAAGAAAGGCGGGCAGGAGCTCATCGGAGGTCTCGACGTTCGCGTAAACAGAAATCACTTTGGCCGGCAAACGGAGAGTTTCGAGGCGCCCTTAGATTTGCCGTTCTTGGGTCCGACCGAGCAGTCCTTCCCTGCAGTTTTTATCCGGGCGCCTGTGGTGGAAAAGATCCTGCCTCATCAAGAAGGTATTCAAGTGGACGAAACACAGAGGGACGAGACGGTGGTGGCGCCCTCGAAACAACCTCAGGGTCAGGCGGCCAAGGCGGCGATGGGAGATGGAGTTGAAGTACTTGCAAGTCTCCCCGGCAGAGCAGCTAAACTAGCCGCCACGGGAACACATATCGACGCAGATAAAGAGACCGGTGACATCGTCGCGGTCAAACAGGGTAATGTGTTCGGAACAAGCTTTCACCCCGAATTGACAGGTGACGCCAGAATACATTCCTGGTGGTTGCGCCAGGTGGAGGAGTCGGTAAGGAAGAGGAAGGAAATATGAAGAGTCATAGACTTGGCAATTCTTGAGCACGGAATTGTTGATTGTTGGGTATCTGGTAGAATTTTCCTTTCCTTGAACAGCCGGTGCAGTTTACCGGGACGATAGAGATGATATCGTTGATATACAAACGCCTTGTCTGCGCCAATAGACCACGCAAATTTATTACCAAATTACTTACCCTTGCCGTACTCTTCTTCTTCCCGCCTGCGCTGGTCATCTGCGTAGGCCCGACCATAACCACCGCGGCCCGGATCGTATTCTTCACGGTATTCGTCGCGCACCTGCCCACCAGACTTTCCTCGCCTTCGCTGAAAGTTAGACACTCCTGTTCTTCTCTCTCCTGATAAAGATGTAGCATCACGTACCCATACTGACGTCCTTCCTCAAAGCCAGGGTCAAGATCTGTACGGATAATTCTCTCATCAAGCTTGGTGCCTCCGACATACTTTAAGCAGTCCAAGGCATCCTGATGCGTATAGTATTCCACGAAGCAGAAGCCGCAGGGGGTTTTGTTGTATCGATCCAGCCCCATTACAAGGCGCTTGATTTCACCGCACCTATATACGCCCGTTAGTTCTGAGCATCATGCCATGATGGGCCTGCGGGTCCGCTGACTTTGAGAAAAGCTCATGAATTTGCTCCTCTGTTGTGTAAAAAGAACTTTAGAAAGTCAGTATGCGCCACAATTATGGGCATGAATGCATTGTTTCGCTCGACATACAGGTTTCCGACATAGAGTGTTGTGGCATCCTTCAACTTGTCGACTGGGTCCTCTGGCCTCTCAGAGTCATCCTGGCTGTACTTGCGTTTCTTGTTCTGCCATTCAAAAAGACCTTATTAGGAAATGATCAAAGCCAAAAGTGGTTTGCAAGCGCACCTTTGCCAGGTAATAGGCGCTAGGCCGATCCAGCCTGTCGACTGTGTTGTGAACCAAAGTACTCATTATATTGTAAACACAGTCGTATGTCCCGAACAAGAACAAGGCAATTATTTCAAGCAATATGAGATAATGCAGCCGGATATGCGCGAGATAGAGCAGCGATGGAGATGACGGGAATGTAGTTTGAAGACGCAGGATAGCTGGACATCAAGAGCTCTCTCAAGGGCGGAGCTTTCACTTGTCTTGGCACGACCAAAAAAGTCCCCGGCGGCCCGCTGTTTGTTGCTATAATCGCCGTCATTCCAACCAACCTTCAATTTGAATCAATCTATCCTCCTACCAGCTTACTGAGGATATGGAATAAACCTCGGTCATCCGCAATTCATTTCTGGTTCCATTTTCAATTTGTTCGCCATAACCGCTGACGATGCCGAAACTCATTAGCTACACTCCTCCATGGCTATCGCGCCCTGCACCCGGCGCAACACTCTTTGCAAGCACATCGACCAAAAAACCGGGCTATCTTCCGGAGAATGAAGCGGAGTATAGCGGCCCGACAAGAACCTTGGCGAAGCGAGGAAATGAGATCTTCACCGTGGTGAACAATCAGATCCGCTGGTCGAGCCTTACTCGATTGAAGGATGTATGGCAGCAGTCCTCCAGATCAAAGAAGGACGCTGCTGGTCAGACAAGGAGCTCTGAGGGACCATCAGATAGCGATGAGACGGATTATTACAGAGTATGGTCGATTCTCGCGCAAGCTTTTGCATGTCTAGCTCAGTGTCGTGGCTAATGAACGACTAGGTTCTGATCGTACCAGTCTACGAACGGATTCGGCAGATGATCCCTTCTCCAAATGGCGCTTTTCTGGCCATCGTAACGGATCATACAGTGTACATCGCGGTGCTACCAGATTCATCGCACCTGTCTGGTACGGATCGCTCACCCATCCGTCTCAAGTATTACCAGCTTGGTCCCACTACGCACGTTATCCCTGAGTCACCCGTCGTTTCGGCGCTGTGGCATCCTTTGGGGGTGCACAGCAATCTTGGAGGCTGTCTTATCACCGTCACCGCAGATGCCGCAGTCCGCGTCTGGGAGCTGGACCGGAACAACCACTGGTCATTCGATCGACCTACGCTGGCGGTTGACCTGAGAAAATTGGTGGACGGAACATCTTGCGACCAGGACTTCTCACCTTCTGGATTTGGGAAGAACAAAGGATTCTCCGCCGATTTCGTTGATATGGAAGTCGCCTCGGCTTGCTTTGGCGGTAGCGGAAGCGAGAAGGAGAGCGCATGGGCACCAATGACACTGTGGGTCGCAATGCGGCCTGGTGATCTTTACGCCCTTTGCCCGTTGTTGCCTTCCAAATGGCGAGCTCCTGCGACTACTATTCCCTCCCTTACTTCGGCCATTGTTCCAAAGTTGTCGGCGATGGAGGAAGACTCGTCGGAATATGAGGATGAGCTGACAGCCTGCCGACAGCAGTATGACTGGCTTACGGAGATTGATAACCAGGATCCCTTGCAGACCATTGTTGGCTCGGATCTGGAGCCCGGGTCGGAAATCCTGACGCGTCCCGCCAATCCCAGCGCGATCCCTAGGTTGCAGGGTCCGTTCCGTGTCGACACTGGGGACGAGCTTGATGATTTGGACCTTTGTGACATCCTTGTCATTGCGTCAAAAGTGGATGTGGATGCTCTCATGATGGGTGAGGATGATGAGCTCTCAGTGGAAGACAACGATCAATTGTCGGCCACTGTTATCTGCCTCTCGACCCGCACTGGCAGGGTCCATATCTGTCTTGAACTTGATGGCGTCGAGGGACAGTGGCTCCCTAAGCTTAAGAAGAATGCCTTCAGCACCCCCCTGTCTGAGCCATCTGATTTGGTCTTGGTTGAGTCATTGGATACTATCAGACAAGAAGACCAGCATTTGAACAATTGGCCGACCTTCACCAACGATGTTATCTCTCGATACAGCTTCTTCGTCACGACCGCAACCAATGTCACGTCTATTTCACTAAGTTCGTGGGTGCAGAGGCTTGAGGCCGAGCTCCGGTCAGAGGATACGGCGGGCTCAGCTTTTCGTTTGCAAGTGCTGTGCGAAGGCACAGTATCTCTCCGGGAGCGAATCATCCAAGTAGATGACGGTGGCAGTGCTGTTAAAGGCGAATCAGACCATCTGGCCTCTTCTCTGGTCTTCTATGACTATGATCTTGGTTATTTACTGTTGAGCCACCACGCGTCTCGCCCGTATGCTGCCATTATGGATGCGCCTGAGGTCAGCTTTCCACCAATCGCAGACATGGGACCAATTGGTTCAGGGGCGCAGGCGCCAACTTCTCCCATTCTACCACCTAAAAGACCTCCTTACCAAGTCCCTTCTATTCTCTATTCGGACTCGCCTCTGGAGTTCTTCGTTGAGAAGCATGTCCCTCACCGACAACGCCAGTCGCTCAAAGAGCAGGTGCGTTTGTCGCCAGCAACGCTGGACCTGGTTGCTGCTGCACATCGCATTTTGTCTGCTCACACGAATGCTCTTGAAAGGGCAGCATCGGATCTTTTCCGTCGCTGTGAGCGGCTACAAGGGGAGATGCAGGAGCAACTGAAGCAGCTCTCGGACGTGGCTGAGCGCATCAAGGGGGTCTCAAGCAATATTGGTGAGGATGGTCAGMGGCGAGAGGGCTCGAGGAGTGGTGAGGCGCTGGATAAGAGGCTGAAGGCTGCGAAGGAGAGACAGGCGCAATTGGTTGAGAGATACGAGTCGCTCCGAAACAAGGTCCTGAAGTCGGGCGGTCGTCCACTGAGCGAGAAGGAGAAGGCATGGCTTTCGGAAGTAGAGGCACTATCTACTTC